TTCAGTGCTGCTCAGTGCGGAGACCACGGCCACCACCCTGCTGGCCGACATGGCCACCACCATCATGGAGACCACCACCACCATGGCCACCACCACCACCCGCCGGGGCCGCTCCCCCACGCTGAGGGACAGCACCACCCAGGTGAGGACCCTCCCCCCGTGGGCAGACCAGTGGCAGGGCTTCGGGTGGGGCGCCCGGGGAGGGTCCGAGGGCCTGGGATCCTTGTGGTGGTGACGGCTTTGGTGAGGCGGCCAAGGTCTCCTTTCATGACGTGTCCTTTGCCCTGGTGACCCCGATGGGGAGGTGCCCACTATTTCTAGGGGACCGTCCCCAGAGCTGAGGGGCGGTTTGGTACCCAGCTAGACCAGGGAAGACTACCCCCACTTAAGAGGGAGGAAGTCTGAACTGGGGGCGAGGGCGGGATGACCCTTCTGCCCATCGGTAATGGAAGCCACGCCCAGTGCTGTGGGCAGCCGGTGGAGACGTGGACCAGGATGGCATTGCTCTGGGCACAGAGGTGGCAGCACTAGAGGAATAGTGGTTCACGGGCATGGCAGCCCCTGGAGGCTGGCGCGGGCCCAAGCGGCCTCTGACTGTTGGGACCCTGCAGGGGGCATGCAGGTCCGGTCCCTGCTTTCACACGACCTGTGACCCTGGGCCAGCATCGCCTGTCGCAGCCTCGGTGCCCTCAGTGGGTGCGGGGGCTTCCCCTCCCAGTGCCCGCCCGCCTGCTCAGGTGCTTGCCCGGGCCAGGTCCCGCCCAGGGGTTTGTCTTCTCTTGTACCCAGAGGAGCAGCAGAAGGGGCTGTGCCTCGGGAATGAGCCCCCCTGGGGCAGGCCCAGCCTGGCTTTCCTGGTGGCTAACGCCATCGAGCATGTGTGACTCACTGAGGCAGCCGGGGGGCCTGGCCTCGTTGTGGCCGCAAGGATTGTTGGTTCAGGGAGTGCGCGTACCCGGCACGTTGGACCTGGCTTGGTCACCCTGCCCCCTACCCAAGCTGCTCTGTCCCCCGCTGCTGTGGCTGTTGGGCCTCTGGGCCTAGAGGGACCTCTGTCCTCCCAGGCTGAGGGAGGGGTTCCGGCCACATGGAGGCGTGTCCTGCCTTTGGCCTCTGTACATGAGGCCTGGGCTCCGTGAGCTCCAGGTCCCACCTGGGCCAGTCTGCTGCAGGGACCCTGGGACTGGCTGACAGGCTCATGGGGCAGAGAGCCAGGCGGACCGTCCCTCCACTCTGCCTTCATTACCAAGAACACCGAGGGCCCTCGGACGCCAGGCCTTGCCCTAAGGGGCGGGGAGCCCTGGGAGAAAGGCCTTGCTTCCCCCAAGGTTGGGCATCCAACAAGCCCAGTGCCCTCAACATGGGCCAGAAGAGCCTTCAGATGCAGTGGCGGGGTGATGGGCAGGCCATCCACGCAGCAGAGGGGGGACCCTGGGGTCATGGCTGTGGAGAGGCCCCCCAGGGGAGGCTGGTGAGAAGGGGCAGGAGACACAGTGCTCAGGGGTCCTCCAGGCCCCGCCCAGCCCTTGGGTGAGGGCGGCAGTGTCTGAAGATCAGGGGGCGGGGAAGAGGCAGGATCTAACTCCTTCTCCCCTCCCCACCCCAGACTTCTCCCATCCTGACCTTCAGCCAGGCGCCACCCCCCCATCCAGCAGTCTCCCAGGCTCCCTTCCTGCCTGGACCCTGGGTTTCCCTCCCAGGGTCTTTTCCCTAACACCCCCAGAGGGCCCCCCCTTACACTCACTCATCTTGGGGATTCTCTTTCTTTGCAATCAGGAGACAAAATGCTGACAAAGTCGACTCCCGTTGTCATGACAACCACAGCCCTAATTATTGTGTGCAGCCTGGTTCCCCGGCTCAGGGAAGGGGGTTGGGAGAGAGATGAGGGTGATGGGGTTGTCAGGCTGGAGCTGAGGAGCCCCCCAGGCCCTGCTCCCCCTCTCGGCCCCTGCTGGCCTCCAGAGGCCCCTGATGGCGGGGGACCTTGCCCGAGCCCTGAGGTCCCAGGTGTGGTGTCCAGTCCCCCCAGGTGCCGCAGGAGCTGAGGGGCCACTGCAGGGCGTGTGTTTACTCTCCCTTTGCCACGAGGGACATGAAGGCCCAGGTTACCCGAGTGATGACAGAGCTGGGCACGCACCAGGGTGTGGTCTCAGCCCAGGGCCCCTAACCATATACCTCAAGAGGTGGGGGTCTGCTGACCCACCTGTACCCCTCTTCTTTCCCCCACCCCTCCTCTCACCCCCAGAACACAGATGACCTCCTGGTGGCCTCGGCTGAGTGTCCGAGCGATGACGAGGACCTGGAGGAGTGTGAGCCCAGTACTGGTGAGTGCCTTTCCCCCCTCCCCTGCCCCGGGCCCACTGTGACATTGACGGGAGGGGGGCGACTGTCCCTGCCACCTGGCCAAGCCCAAGGGGCCTGCTGCCAGCCCTTAGCTTTCCCTGATAGCTCCTCTCCCTACTGCCCCTCCCCCCGCCCCCCAGGTCCCTCAAGTGCCCTCTGGTGAGGCAGTTTGTGTTTGGTGCCCCAGCCCTCAGAGGTAGCGGGGTCCTTAGCTTGGGGTCTGGGGTTGAGAGCCAAGGGATGCTGGGAGGGAAAGAGGGAGACGGTTCCCTAGAAAGTTGAGTGACTGCAGCTCCCATGAGCCCTGGGGGAGAGGGGATGGGGAATGCAGGTTTAGGAACTACAACTCCCATCAGCTCTTGGGTCCAGAACTGCAACTCCCATCAGTCCCTGAGCCTGGTGTTCTCTTGGTCACTAGTAGAGGAGGTCGCTGCTAGATGCTGAAGCTTCCTCATCCCCAGTCTCAGGGGGTGGCAGACATTCTGCCAGGGCTGCCAAGCCAAGCCAGGGCAGTAGCCGGGTAGGAGGGCAGGGCTGGGAGGGAAGCTTCCCGGGGTGGCAGTCCAGCCTCTGCCTGCTCCTTCCAGTGCAGCCCCAGAGAGAGACCAGATTGGCAAAGCAAGGGTGGGCCTTGAGTGCCGACTGAGAACTGTGGGGCGGGGAGTGGCACAGGGGGTGCAAGCGCTGCTCACCTGAGCAGGTGGGAGGGTGGCTGAGAGGAGCCGAGGTCCTTGTGCCTGAGGCTGAGGGTGGGAAAGGGGGAGGGACCAGATTTCCCATCCGGAGCAGGGGCCCTGTGCAGCCTGGCCGAGCCCACGGGGCACGCATCCCCTGCTTGGGTTTCCAGAGGCGTCTCCCGATGGCCTTCCAGCAGCTGGCACCTGGGCTGCTGGTACCAGGAGGATGGAGGCTGGGCAGGTACATGCAGGCTCAGGGAGGTGATGTGGTCAGCTGAGGTGGACAGGGTGACTGGGGTCCATCCTGTGAACCTGGCCTGGGGGATGGGCCCGGGGGGTCTGCCAGCCCCAGAAGAGATGCTCACGCGGAGGGTGGGCCACAACCACGGAAGGGGTGTGGGTGGGGCCTTGTGGCTGTGGCTCAGCTTTTGGAGACCAAAGGTGGGGTTCTGGGGTGCAGGCCTTTATGCCCAGAGACAAGCCCAACTGCCCTCTATGTCCCCCTGTAGACCAAAGCTGAGGGCATCTTTCTAGTGGCCCTGGGCCCCACGGCACTTGGGGAGCCCCAGGCTGCTGGGCTGCAAAGGCCCCCCAAGTGCAGCCAAGGGCCTGTGCTCTTGGAGCAGACGCCCTCCGCCCTCCGCTGTGGCGGCCCCTCTGTGGGGCTGCTCCCTCCCTCGCACCCTCACACTGCACCGTAGCGTTGGCATCGGGCAGCGGGAGCCCAGCACCCCTCCTCCACTGGCTTTATCCCTCCGACTCGTCACTCCCTGAGGTTTCCTGTGGGTGCCCGTGCCTCCGTGACGGTGACGGATGGTCCATGAGAGCCCTGGGGTAGGGCTCTGGGGCGCAGAGCTGCACTTGGCCCCACCTCGCGTGTTTGCACACATGTGCCGTGTCCACACTCTGGGATGGGGACTGCTGGGGTGAGCGGAGGTGTCCCAGGACCCTCAGAGCCATTGAGGCACACATCCCTATGCACACACAGAGAGGAGTGAGGCCACCACACAGAGACAGGCTCCCTGGGCCACACCAGGGCCACACACTGTCCACTGAGGTCCTAGCTTCCCAGCCCCAGCCCGACGAGTCTTCGAGGGGCCTGGTGTGATGCTGAGGGTGCAGGTGGCTGTGCTGGGAGGAGGGGATGAGAAGGGCTGAGGGGACTGCACTGATCGCGGGCAGCTCTGCCTGGGAAAAGGGCTGCGTACGTGGTGGAGAACTGTCCACTGAGGTCCTAGCTTCCCAGCCCCAGCCCGACGAGTCTTCGAGGGGCCTGGTGTGATGCTGAGGGTGCAGGTGGCTGTGCTGGGAGGAGGGGAGGAGGAAGGGCTGAGGGACTGCACTGATCGCGGGCAGCTCTGCCTGGGAAGGGCTGCGTACGTGGTGGAGGTGGAAGAGGAATAGAAGTCGGCGGGTAGGGGGAGGGTGGTGGGCTAGCCTGGCTCCCAGCTTTAAAGTAAGAAGGAGAGAAGACAGAATGCACGCTGAGCCCCCGGAGGAAACCCACAGAAGCCACGGGCTCCCCAGACGTGTGTCACCCGCCTGCACTTGAAATGGACTCTTGTCATCCTGATGGGGGGCCAGGCAAGGACCAGGACCACTGCAGGGTTCCCCAGGCGGATCCAGATCAGGCCGCCCACTGGAGGCCTTTGCTCTGGCACAGGACCAGGCCTCCTTGGGCCCGAGGTCAGCATTGGAGGTGGAGGTGGCCTGCAGGAGACTGTGGCTGCCAGGGGCTGAGCCCAGGATGTTTGCACCCCTTCCGCCTGTCGGATCCTCCTCTCTGGGTCCAGGTGTGAAGCCCAGGATCCTCCCCGCTCATCTTTCCACCCTTTCCCATGACCTGGGCCCTGCACAGACCCCAGGCTCCATGGCCCCACCCCCAGCTGGGTGAGACCATCACCTAACACGGTCATTTTACCTGAGTTTGGCAGCCCTGTCACAAGGGTATTGCTTGCTGGACGCAGTGTTTACATTCTTTGCGTGGGCGTGCCTTCGGATGCACTCACCGCCCCGCACTGTCTCAGCGCCTGACCCACACACTGCTCCGGGCCTGGCCCCTGTAGGGATCTGAGCTTGCACGCAGGAAGTGCCTGGCTCACATCCATATGCACACACAAGTCTGGCCAGAGGCACGCATGAGCACATCCATGCACACGTTTACGGACCTGCCAGCAAGCTCACATGTGTCCACTTCCATAGGTACATACATGTGTTCAAAACTAGACGAGCACATGCCATTTGTACCCGGACCAACAGAGGCACACACATGTACTCAGCTACAGTCTTGCGCATGTGTGCTTAGAGCTCCAAATATATGTACACATAGGTGTGGACTCACAGATGCCCACCTGCTCAGACCCACAGTTACATACTTACCCAGGTGCTCAGCCACACAAAGATGTACATGCAGCGTGTCTTGAATGCACCACAGCACTTGCATGTGCTCAGAGCTGCACATACAGGTGCAGACCCACTGTGGCACGCTCGCACACACCTGTCGAGGCATGCATATTCCTCATGCATATTCAGAGTGACAGTACATGCTAGATCTATAGGCGCACTCGCATATTTCAGACACGATGCTCTTGTATGTTCAGGCCTGAGCATGTACACACACGTACGTGCTCAGAGCCATCGAGGCACATACATATACGTGTCCTCAAATTCACAGAATTCCATATCCATGCTCAGCTCGTAGGTGCACACATGTGCTCAGACCTTTACGATCCTACACACACACACAGACTTCCAGCTGCTCACAGAAGTTTTAGAATTGCAGGTGCCTGGATGCATGTTCAGAACAGCTACACACACAGTGTGCTCAGACCCGCCCAGGTACAGGTGCACACGTGCACAAACATGCAGGAATTCAGGCTCACAGAAGTGTACGTTTTAGCTCCTCCCAAGTACACACTTGTGCTCAGACCCTCAAAGGGATGCTCTCAGGTGCCTACATGTGCACTCATTCCCACAGAGCGTGTCTGTGCACACAAATGCACCTGTACGGTGACCACGAGGTAACGTGAGCACATTCCAGGTAGGCTCTGTGTGCCCAGATCCAGGGATCCATGTCCTTGCACACTTTTGTTCTGACTTACAGACCGGCACCCCTCCCCCACTGGCCAGGAGAGAGCCTGAGAGGCTCACCTTAGCTCAGACTAACAGCTCATTCTTACATGTACACTCATGTGCTCAGAGACACACACACATGCTCAGACCCCTCAAGGCATGCATACACGTGCCAAGTCCCACAGTGATGCCCACATGCCCACACAGCTCCTATTGCACTTACGCCGTGCAGCTGCGTAGGGAGGGGTATGCACATATTCTCAGACTCACATTGAGTTCAGATTCACGCAGGCACAGATGTGTTCAGACCCCGAGTGTCTTAAGGTAACACTAGTTCTATAACAGGTGCGCTGCACAACATCCGTGGTGTAACACAGATTTATTTCCCCGTAACGTGAAGTTACGCACAAGTGTCCCTGTGTGCGGGCAGCTCTTCCCCAAGTGCCGACGCAGGGCCCAGGCTCCTTCCGTCTTGAAGCTAGTCCATCTTCACGGGGTGGCTTCCCGAGTGTGGGAGGCTCGCGAAGGGGAGGGCCTGTGGGCCAGGCCTGCGCGGGAGGTGCACATCGCTCCTGCCGACTCTGCCCTTTGGAGCTGTCACATGGCACAACCTACCTTCCAGGAAGGCCGGGAGGTGTGGCCTTGCTGTGCCCCCAGGAGGAAGCAGAAACATAGTGACCAGCTAGTGACGTATTTGCTGCATCTGGTTTTCAGGTCACCAATGATCCATTCCATTCTTCCCACACACAGAGCACACCCACCCCTCCCCAAGGGGGACACCGAAAACCCACCCACTTAGGGCTGTGACCCCAAAGGTGAGGATGTCGGGGAAGTGGCCGCCCACTCCATGGGGTACTGGCCTGGCTCCTCGGCACCCATGTGGGGTCTGGCACCCACGAACTAACTGATCTCACAGCCCAGAACACACCCAGAATACAGTGGTGGCCAGAGCCCCACAGTCAACCTCCCACTCCAAAAGGGCAGTGGGAGGCGGCGGCTCCCGGCTCCCGGCTCCCGGCTCCTAGCCCGAGGAAGTCCGCCAGCACAGAGCACAGGGCAGCGCCTGCGGTGGGCAGGGTCGTCCTTAAACCCCCCTCTGCTGCTGGGAGAAACGCCCTCTCCTCTGGGGCCCTGGCGCTCCCTCTGGAAGGCGCTTCCTGGTCTCCCCTCTCAGGGCCATCTCTGCAGTGGGTGTCGGAGGAACGTCCTCTGCGGCCTGTAGCGTTGACATCCACTTCCGGCTCCTGCGTGTTTGAAAGGCCCCAAAGGTTGTGTTAAGGCTCACAGTGACAGTAGCCACACCCAGGGATCCTTCTAGACCAGTGGTTCTCAACCTTCCTAATGCCGCGACCCTTTAATACAGTTCCTTGTGTTGTGGTGACCCCCAATTTCATTGTTACAAATTGAACATAATTAAAGCATAGTGATTAATCACAAAAACAATATGTAATTATATATGTGTTTTCCGATGGTCTTAGGCGATCCCTGTGAAAGGGTCGTTCGACCCCCAAAGGGGTCGCGACCCACAGGTTGAGAACCGCTGTTCTAGACCATTCCCAGCAGCTCATTTACTGTTCCTCCGCCCAGGCCTGTCTTGACTTAGAGGTGACTGACTATCTTGAGGGCATTGACTCAGCAGTTGGTGGGAGGCGGCCACACCGGGCTGGGCCCCTGGTCCAGGTGGAAGCTCCGGGCTGTGGTCCCACAAAGCCGGTTTCTGTCTTGTCTTACGACTTGGGGTTTGGAAGCAGCGGCTCCTCGGACGCTTGCAGGCCCCGAATTTCTGGGTCCCTCTCTTCCCTTCATCTCTGCAGCTCCACGTTCTTGCCGGACTTTGTCTCCCGCTTGTCTATGTTACAAAAAGCAGGAGGCAAAGGCCGGCAGTCGCCCTGGCTTCTTTCCTGGCGCTGACCCCGGTGCCTCAGCCTCGGCACGGCCGCCCTCTGGTCATCACGGGATGCTGGTGCCACAGCCTTGCAGCTGCGTCACGTGGCTCCTCCGTCCAGCCGCCGCTCCATGTCCCTGGGTGGTTGCATGAGGGCCCCAGGCTCCGATGGCACCATTTCCGGGGCAGTGCCTGTTCGAGCAGCATCCGTTTCGGTTAACAGGTGCCCTAGGATCTTGGGGGTGTCTCACCCTGAAAAGGGAAGCTTCTACGCAGGAGAAGCCCCGGGCGCCTGACCAGCAGGCTCTGCCTCAAGGGCGCTTTGAGAATCCAGCCTCCTTCCATGTGGGGCCTCCCCCGTTTTCAGCAGGTGGTCGCAAGGTCCCGGGAAGGAGGGGAAAGGCGTGGAGGGTCACGCGCAGGAGGCTTTCACGGGCCGGTACTGCCACTGCTCAGTCACACGGCCACACCTAAGTGCAAGGGAATCTGGGAAGTTACTCTCGCTACCCAGCAGACGAGGAAAATGAGTTGGGGAAAGAGGTGACCCCGGAAGGACAGGGCATGTGCGCAGACCCGCGGGCCACGCTCCCATGTCTGCAGTGGCACGTCCACGCTTCCACACCTGCGCACACGAGCTCAGGCCAGAGCCAGGGGTTCGCTTATGCACACACACGTCTGTTCAGAGTCAGATTCGCTGACACGCGCACTCACATGCTCAGACCCATCGAGGTTCATGTATGCACGCGCTTAGCGACACGCCCAGTGCCCAGAAGCAGGCCCTCGGAGGGTGTGTTCCTGCACATGTGCACACAAGTGCCTTCGTCTCTGACCTTGAATCCACCTTGGTGCTCACCCTTGCTGGGCTGGTGTTTCCGGGTGGGGAGGGGCCCCGTCCTTCAGGTCACGGCGCACGGTTACGCGGGTCGTTCTCTGCTGGAAAAGGTGAGTGAGGGCTGAAGTCTAGCCAGCGCCCTGCTTGCCCAGCCGTGGGTCCTGGGCCCGGAGGGCGGGGCTGTGTTCACCAAGAGGACAGGATACCTTTGTCCAATTGCGCCGGAGATGCTGTTCGCACCTGCAGGCTGTGGCCGGCCAATGGCTGCCTTTTTTCTCATTTGCATGAAATGCCCTGTGGGCTCCTGGCCTTGCCCTCAGCCTGGGCAGGGCACCTGGTGTTGAGGCCTTAGCCAGCTGATTGCTTGGTTTCTGACATCCTGCCTCCGTTCTAGACACCCCTTTGGGGGAGGTACATCCTGTTTGGTGGGAGTGGGATTCGTGGGTAGATTCCCAGTCAGGGCTCTTCTGTTCCCTAAAGGCAGCGGGGCTCAGCGTGTGGGGCTGGGACGGGGGGGCGGGGGGGGGCCTAGGGGAGGAGGTGCCTGGTGATGGCTGGTGGTCTCCTTGCCAGAAGGGAATCCTCTAGCAAGTGGGACTGAAATCCAGTTTCAGAGCAGAGGGGGTGGCATCCGTGGTAAGTGCACCTGCATTTCCCAAATGCCGCAGCTGCCTGGAGGAGGGGAGGGGCAGGGAGGGAAGGGAGGCTGCTGGTGTCCTTACCAGACCCAGGGGCACCCCACCCAATGTGCACCCTTGGTGTGGAGCTGCACCCAGGGTCCCAGGCACCAGCATCTTTGTGAGTCTGCACCCCCACGTGCCCAGCGGGAGGGGCGGCCTGGGGAGCCCCCGTTAGACTTCCCCAGTGAGGAGTCTCTGGGGACCCACCCCTCCTGCTAAGTCCTCGCTGAGCAGGCTTGCCTGACGCTCCGGGACCAGTGTACGGCCCAGGAAAGCCCAGTACCCATGTTGTGTGAGAGTTGACGGCCCCAGAGCCCAGGCCAGCTTCAGAGCGTCAGGGAAGGGAGGCAGCGTGGGGTCTGATAGCCGTTCTCTTGCTGAGGGTGAGGTGCAGGGAGGAAGCGGTGTGGGGTTGGAATCAGATGTAGGGCCATGAGATGGAGGTAACAAGGGTCAGTTGTGGCTGGGGGGGTGTGAGGTGGGGAAGCAGTGAAGGCAGGACACCCTCCCGAGATGCTCTCAGAGCCTTGGGCAGATGAAGGCCCTGGAGAAGCCCCCAGGAGAGCAGGGGAGGGGCTGGTACCCAGGTATGGAGGCCGGGCAGCAGATGGAGTTGAAGGGAAGGGGAAAGAGGTCCGTGTGACTCGGCCTGGGGGGCTCTAGAGGCGGGCAAGGCTGTGCAGGGGAACCTGGGAGCCAGTGTGTCCTGAGGACCTAAAACCCAACACGTTGGAGGAGATGGTTGTGGGGGCCCCAGGCTGCGCAGGATTTGTCTGTGGCCCGAGGCCTGATGCCCCCGCATACCCTCGTCTAGATGGGGGTGAGAGGGAGGGTAGGGATCCGAGGCCTGTGCCCTGGTCAGCCTCTAGGGCAGTGGTTCTCAACCTTCCTAACGCTGCGACCCTTTAATACAGTTCCTCATGTTGTGGTGACCCCCAACCATAAAATTATTTTCGTTGCTACTTCATAACTGTAATTTTGCTACTGTTATGAATCGTAATGTAAATATCTGATATGCAGGATGTATTTTCATTGTTACAAATTGAACATAATGAAAGCATAGTGATTAATCACAAAAACAATATGTAATTATATATGTGCTTTCCAATGGGCTTAAGTGACCCCTGTGAAAGGGTTGTTCGACCCCCAAAGGGGTCGCGACCCACAGGTTGAGAACCGCTGTTCTAGGGCATGAGGTGTCCCCAGCAAGTACTCCTGATCCTATGCCCTGGGCCTGGCAAGCCTCAATCCTGAAGTTTCCAGGAGCAACTGGTGGTCTAGTTTAAGGTCTAAAGTAGGGATGGCTCGGGGTGAGAGCTGGGCCCGCAGAGCAAGGCTCCTGGGTGGGGTTCAGGACCCGGCTGCCCTGACCAGGGAGAGGGGCTCTCACCCCTTCCAGCCTGGCCTGGCTCAGAGGAAATGCTTGATGACTATGCCTTCCCTTCCTGGGCAAGACCATGAGCCCCACTCTGGCCAGGCCCAGTGCTGGGCGTCAGGGAGACAGAGGGGCCTTCGGCCTTTGCTGGCAGTGAGTTCAAACCTGGAGGAGGAGGTGATTGGCTGGATTCGCACGATGAGGCATCAGCAGGGGAAGGTGTTCTGAACAGAAGGCAAAGGTCAGGAGGGGGCAGGTGGGGTGGGCCAGCGGTGAGGTCCCAGATGTGTTTAGGGTCCATCCAGAGGGGCCCTGCCAGCTTCCTTAGAACTGAGTTTGCCCCTTACCCAGGGACCAGGTGCTGGGCATCCTCTGGGTCTGGGCTCAGACGGGGAGGGGAGGACAAATTGCATTCATCTGTCGGCCGGAGGCGATTGGGAGCCAGGCCCTGGCCCCACCCTCATTTTATAAACGAGGAAATGGAGGCCCAGAAAGTGAAAGAAACGAGCCCACGGCCACGCAAGAATTAACGACAGAACAGGTCTGTGGCCTCCTAGGTTCAGCCGCCTGGCAGGCTACTACAGCACGGAGATGGGCCAGGCCTCCTGGCCTCCTGTGAGACTCGGCCCTTTCCTGGCCTCCCAGAGCCACAGAGGGACTGGCTAGGCCAGTGGTTCACCGAGCCCAGTGGTCGGCAAACTCATTAGTCAACAGAACCAAATATCAACAGTACAACGATTGAAATTTCTTTTGAGAACCAAATTTTTTAAACTTAAACTATATAGGTAGGTACATTGTTATTAACTTAATTAGGGTACTCCTAAGGCTTAGGAAGAGCCACACTCAAGGGGCCAAAGAGCCGCATGTGGCTCGCGAGCCGCAGTTTGCCGACCACGGACCTAGCCTGATGCCCACCCCAGCTCAGCATTCTTCAGGAAAGCCAGGTAGGATGGTCCCAGCTCCACAACACACCTCTGTGCTTGGCTGCGTGTTTCAGTGTGGCTGAGCCCTCGGGGGGCCTGGCGGCCTGGGGCTTCGTAATCTGGGGTGCAGGTGAGCCGCTGCTCAGGGGGGGATTGGAGCTTGGTGAGAAAAGCAGCCCGAGATACTCAGCAAGACTTCGAGTTCAACGGCAAGATCTTGGTTGCGGTTGGCTAGTGTGGCCGAGGATGGCTCGGCCAGGTTGCTGGAGCTTGTGGTCTGAAGGATCCGCAGAGGTGTGAGCCGCCAGCTGGGCTGCAGAGTGGCAGGCTGGCCTGGCAGTGGAGCCCTAGGGTGCTTCCTACAGGGGTGGAGGGCTTGTGGTGCCATCTGTGAGGAGCACACCCGGCAGAGACCAGGGAGAAGCCCTCAGATGGGTTTCCACCCAACACTAGCAGATTGCAGCACTTTGGGTTGAGAGGGGGCCCAGTGGGCTGATGGGAGTTGTAGTTGCTGACCCAGGGCTGGTGGGAAACGTGGCCCATACCCCTCCAAAAGCTAATGGGAGTTGTAGTTCTCACCCTTTGGGGCTGATGGGAATTGCAGTTTCTGCTCTGGGGTCCCTCTTCATTAGACCTAACCCCCCCAAAGCCCTCCCCAATAGTTCCCTTGGGCCCTATATTAGCAAATGCTTCCTTCCCAGATGGCTGTGTATGTATTCTTTTTCTTTTTTTGCTTTCTTCTTCTTTCCGTTGTTTTATTATTGTTTTAACAATAATAAGAGGGCCAGAGGCGGTCAAGCTCTGGCCAGGTCCTGGCGGCCCATGGGGGTTTGGGGAGGGGGAGGGGGGAGTCAGTGGGGGTCAGAGGTGGAGGGTGAAGAAAGAGAAAGTTGGGAGTTAGGGAAAGCTCAGGAATCATGTGTCCCCGCCCCGCCCCCATCTCCCTGCCTCCACGTGGCTTCTCACGCCCTTCCCAAGGTCCTATGGGACAAGACCCTCTGCCCACGCTTCCTACGGCCCTGTCACCTCCCACCTTCAGTTTCTCCTCTGCTCATGGCCTTCCAGGCTCCTTCCCATGCACATCCCCTCCCCCATCCTCACACCCTGTAGCCATCCCCACACATCGCCCTCCTGTGCCCCCTCCCCAAATCCTCCTTCCCACTGTCCCCACACACACACAGCCGCCCTCCTGTGCCCCCTCCCCAAATCCTCCTTCCCACTGTCCCCCCACACACAGCCGCCCTCCTGTGCCTTGTCCCCAAATCCTCCTTCCCACTGTCCCCCCACACACAGCCGCCCTCCTGTGCCTTGTCCCCAAATCCTCCTTCCCACTGTCCCCCCACACACAGCCGCCCTCCTGTGCCTTGTCCCCAAATCCTCCTTCCCACTGTCCCCCCACACACAGCCGCCCTCCTGTGCCTTGTCCCCAAATCCTCCTTCCCACTGTCCCCCCACACACAGCCGCCCTCCTGTGCCTTGTCCCCAAATCCTCCTTCCCACTGTCCCCCCACACACAGCCGCCCTCCTGTGCCTTGTCCCCAAATCCTCCTTCCCACTGTCCCCCCACACACAGCCGCCCTCCTGTGCCTTGTCCCCAAATCCTCCTTCCCACTGTCCCCCCACACACAGCCGCCCTCCTGTGCCTTGTCCCCAAATCCTCCTTCCCACTGTCCCCCCACACACAGCCGCCCTCCTGTGCCTTGTCCCCAAATCCTCCTTCCCACTGTCCCCCCACACACAGCCGCCCTCCTGTGCCTTGTCCCCAAATCCTCCTTCCCACTGTCCCCCCACACACAGCCGCCCTCCTGTGCCTTGTCCCCAAATCCTCCTTCCCACTGTCCCCCCACACACAGCCGCCCTCCTGTGCCTTGTCCCCAAATCCTCCTTCCCACTGTCCCCCGTCCCCGCACGCGGACACCCAGTGGGGTGACAGGCCCTCAGCACCGCAGACTTCAGCTTTGTCACTTGAATGCGGGGAGAGGGCACCAGCGAGGAGAGAGAGTGTGCAGGAGGACCAGGCGCACAGGGAGAGAAGAGAGAGGGAGGGAGACGCCAGGCAGGCAGACAGGAAACGTGGTACGGAAAAGTTGTTTTTTCTTATTTTTTTCCCGGGAGAACCCGCTTACACAGCTCTGTTTGTAATTTTTTTCTTCATGCTAAAATCACACGGCCTATTTGTTGATGTAAGTTGCCTGAATTCCGTGGTATGCTATCTTCTTTTTTAAAAACAAAAGAAAAAAAAAACAAAAGCCAAAAAAGAACTATCTAGAAAAAAACCCTAAAAGATACTGTCGTTAGGCTTGTTTAAATGCTGCTCTTGTATGTGTTTAAAGTCGTAAGCCAGTAGAGTTTCTTTTTCCGTTTCTTTTCGGTTTCCTTTCCTTTCTGTTCCTTTTGGTTTCTTAAGACAATCGAGACCCCGCGGGCCAGAGCCCGGGGTGCCCAGGGCACCCGCTGCCGCTTAG